AAGAGGCTCAGGAAGAGCTCCCGCGGGATGTTACACTGGAAGGCCACCTGCAAATGGGGAAGGCACTGAGGCCACACCCCCCCACCCCCACCCCCCCGGCGCCCAGCACCCAGCTGGTGGTGGCACCGGCACCCCTTCTCCCACAGTCCCACCCCTGGGCCCGCTGGGAGATCCCGCTCTTACCCGCACACTCTGGAACGTTGCACCCTTGGCCAGGTTGAGGATGAGCTGTGAGAAGGTGGGGAAGGTTGGGTCAGCCAAGTGGTCCCCGCTGCTGGGGTGTATTGTCCCCACTGGGATGGGATGGGGGGGATCCCACCCCCCCATCCCCACCAGCACCCGGGCGCAGTGGCAGGGCTCTGCCCTGGGCTGCAGCAGGATGTTTCCAGCCATGCAAAAGCAAGGAGGTCCCAGTGGAGAAGCCTCACCAGGCATTGCTGGAGCCCCCATGGCCGCCCCCCCCTCACCTCATTGTTGGCGTGGCCCCTGCCCTCCAGCGAGGTGCCGCAGTGGCTGAGGGGGGTCTTCAGCATGAAGTGAGTGGCGTTTTTCTCTGCCTGGCAGCTGATGTCCCGCAGGGTGATGTTCACCACGTCCTTGATGGGCTGGGAGAAAAGCACCTGGCGGTCACCCACCAGCTGGGGACAGCCCCATGCCACCCACCCCAAGCACCCGGAGCAGGATGTGGCCCCACTGGGCGATGCTGGCAGGCATCGCGACACCGCTCACCTCCAGGTGGGATCTGGCGATGACGATCTCCATGGTTTCGTCCGTGCACTTCCAGGGCTGAAGCATGAGCAGCACCACATGGGGCAGCGAGTGGGTGGTGGGTGCTGGGGGGGCGGGCGTCACAGGCACCCCCCTGACCACCTCTGTGGGACAGGGAGACGGGGGCTGAGCGGGGGCAGCGGGACCCCCCCATCCCACCCTGCCCTGGGGCACCGGGGTCCTCACCATGCTCCTGGATCTCCAGGCTGACGTGGGTGCTGGCGGGGATGGTGGAGTAGGAGGCGATGACGCTGTAGTTCTTCTCGAAGGCTTTGGCGATAAGGCCCTGCTCCGTGTCAGGCAGGCGCTCCCCAGGGAGCAGCAGCGAGGAGATGGGTGCGATCCTGTAGTTCCCAGAGACCTACGGGGTGGGGGAGCAGCATTGGGGGGGGCTGAGCAGGGCCAGGGACAGCTGGGGATGCTCAAGGCAGGGACAGCTTCTGGGTTTGTCCCCGTTAGGAGGGCTTGCAGTGAGGGGGCTGCCACCTCCCCATGCCCAATGTCCCCAGGTGCCCTCCTGCCACCCTCCCATGCCACCGGCATTTCTTGGGCATCTGGCAGCCCCCTTGGTGGGGGACACACGTCCTGCTCAGCCCTACCAGGAACTGGATGTGGCAGTTGTTGTTGACGGAGAGGGACCAGGTGAAGTTGGCCCAGCTCTGCAGGATGAGGATCTGGTTGCTCACAGTTCTCTCGGGACAGCTCAGGGACAGGTTCACCTCCGTGATGGGGGAGCTGTGAAACCATGAGATTTCCCCCCGCCCCGCATCATGGGGGTGGGGGGTGGGTGTCTGCCTATGAGACACCCCAACCCCTTCCCGAGCATCTCCAAGCATATCCCACCCCGCTGCCACCCCCGGGGGTCCCACCACCGGCACTGTGCGGTACCTGGGCTCAGGCTGCAGGCGGACGATGTGGGCAGCCCTGGTGCTCTGGGCATCCCCACGTGAGCAGCCTTTCACCCCGTGGAAGAAGACCTCAGTCTCGAGGTGCAGCGTGGCGTTGAAGTTCTCCTGGGGGATGCAGTCCAGGGGTCTGGCAGTGCCTGCAGAGGTGGCGGGGGTCACCAAAGCCAAACCAGGCTCGGTGAGTGGCGAGACGCTCAGGACCAGGGGCATCGGTCCCCATAGCGTCTCCCCTGGGATCGTGCTTCGCCCCAGCGCGTTGTCACCCTTTGGGAGCAGGAAGAGCATCGCTGCCCACCCCAGCCCCCCAGCGCCAGTCCCGGGCCCCACGCACCTTCTCCCAGGTGGAGCTGGACCCAGCGGGGGTCCCGCAGCTCGCTGTAGGACGTGATGCTCCTGTAGGTGTCCCGAGCCCAGGCCAGCAGCTGGCCCTCGCCGGTGGCCGTGGGCAGCTCAGGGCCCCGTGTCGCGGTGGTCCCCGGGAAGAGGAGGGCATCCTGCAGGGCAAGGGGCAGCCTGAGCAGGGATCGGGGGGGCAAGGTGCATCCCTCCCCAGCACAGGCTGGTGTGGGGAAAGCGGGAAAAGCCTTTCCTCCAGCATGGAGGATGCGGGTGTAAAGCTAAGCCAAGGAGGGCATCCCTGGAGCCCCGGCCCCATTGTGGATGGGGGTCACCCGGGATGAATAGGGATTTTTGGGGCTGGGAGCGGCGTGGGCGGCCGGCGGCACGCGGAGAGCTCAGCCCACTTTATTATTAGCCACAAACAAAGCAGGAGGTTTATTTTGCTAACAAAGCTCCCAGCCCCGGTTCAGCTCGCTGGAGCCAAACCCCATCCCTGACCTTCCTCCTGCCAGCCGGAGGAAACGGGAGCTTTTTCCAGCCCTGTGCGTCATTCCCTGCCCAGCCAGCTCCGTGCTCAGCGCTGCTGGCAGCGGTCATGTGCGTCCCCTCCTCCCTGGGGCTCCATGAGCATCATCTCTGGGGATGGGGTACCGGTCTCCTCCAGACACCCCCCCCCCAAACATCTCCAGGGATGGCCCCAACCCTGCTGCTCCCTGGGGTTGCTCCTGGCACGGGGCTGTGGCACTCACGGTGTGGATGAGCAGGTCCTTGCACGGGGAGGTGACGTTGGCTGAGCAGTGGGCGCACAGGAGGATGAGAATCACTGAGTGGGTGCAGCCACCGGATCGCGGCGTGACGGACACCTGCAGCGGGAAGGCAGAGTCCTGGCAGGGAAAGAAGAGGAGAGTGTCACCACCGTGGCCACCGAGCCCCAATTACTGTCACCTCCCTGGCTGCCCCCTGGCCACCCCGCCAGAGCTGGAGGCAGCAGGGAGAGCCCTTGGGCTGGCCCCGAGCATGAGCCGTGCAGGAAGCAGCCATGGCCGGCTTTAGGGGGCAGGCTGGGGGACGCAGAGATGCCACGAGGACGTGTACCCACACCAGGAGGGCAAACACCCCCTGCCTCCCCTGAGCAAGGGACCAGGGCATCCCCACCTTGGGGATGGTGGCATCCCCACACTGGGGTCCAGGGCACCCCCATACTCAGGTCTGGGCACCCGCCTTGGGGATTGGGGCACCCTTGCATCAGGGACTGCGCAATCTCTGCACTGGGCACCAGGGTGTCACCCCACTGGTCCACAGTGGGTGGTGTGGGTGTCCCTACTGGGGTGTCCCCACACCAGAGACTGGCATGTCCCCACACCAGGGACAGGGGCATCCCTATACCAGGAACCAGAGCATCCTCACACTGGGGACTGGGGTGTCCCCACACCAAGGACTGGAGCGTCCCCACCCTGGGCACCAGAGCATCCCACTGTAGGTACTGGGGCGTCCCCCACTGAAGACTGGAGCATCCCCACTCTGGGCACCGGGATATCCACCCGCGGGTTTCCCAGCCCCATCCCAGCACCGTGCAGCTGCTTCAGGCTCGGGACTGGCCATGCTGGTACGCAGGGATGCTGGGGGCACAGCGGTGGCACGCACCGCTCCCCGTGGCCGGCACTGCCTGGCGGCCTCCAGCTGGAAATCCGGATGGGGAAGCCGAAATGCCAGGCGCTAAGTTTGGCAACTGCTGCCTGAATCACCGTGCGCAAAGTGCTGAGCCAGGCAGCGAGCAAGGAAAACCAGCCGGGGACTGGGGGGGTGGAGGCAGCTGCCAGGGCTGGGCATGGGGCCGGCGGGACAAGGCCGTGGGCATCCCGGCCTGGCCATGGCCCCGTGGCGAGCGTGGGTGGCCGGGGACCCCGGGTTCGCCGCTGCCCTGCCGCCGCCGCCTTTCAGGTTATTTTTTCTTTTTCTTTTTTTTTTTTTTGCATCATGGGGATCTGCTTATAGAAAGCAGCTTCCAGTAATTCTTCTATAAGTGGAGCCGCGTCCCTGCCTGGCTCCCCCCGCGCGCCGCAGGGCTCAGTGCCGCAGCCGTGACATCAGTGCGTGTCCCCTGCCGCCGCTGGTGACAACCCCGGGGCACCCCCGGCACTCATCCATGCACTGGGGTGCAGGGCCCCGTCACACCAGGCTGGGGCAGAGGGGCCTTTGCAAAACCCACCCTCCCCCAGCTCCCGGTGTGGCTCCCGCCTCCCCCTGAAAAGCAGAACTGGGAGAGCTGGGAGGCGGTGGGGGGAGCGTGGCGCCAGGCGGCCCAGGGCTGGGCCAAAATGGGGTGCTGGGTTTGCTGGGACCCAGCTAGCGCGAGGGGAGCCGGGTCAGGCTGCAGAGCAGCCGTGCAAACCCACGTGCCGGTGCAAACCCATCCAACAGTGCCAACCAGTACTGGCACCAGCCAGGCATGCAGCCCCAGCCTTGCTGCTGCTCTGTGCTGGTCCTCGCCCGAAAGATGCCCGGGGCACCCACAATATTGTTATCGCCCCTCAGCAGGCTGTGCCAACACTGGTGGCCAGGTTTCCACTCGTGTGGCCACCTTCAAGTGATATACCTCCCTCCGTCCCTCCCCCGTCCCTCCTTCCATGCCTCCCTCCATCCCTCCCTCCCCGGTGTGGTCCCCCTCAGGTGCCGGTGGCTCTGCCCTGCTCCTCAGCTCCCCAGGGAAACAGAGGTTCCCAGGACATCCAGCACAGGGATGGCCCCGGCAGCGTGGGCTGTTAGAGAAGTTGCCTCTAAAGACTTAAAATCCCTGTCGGGGCCAGAGACACCCACGGCTGTGCTGGGAAGGGAAGCTCGGCAAAGGCACCATGGAAGAGGTTAACCCAGGTCCTCTCACTGTGCCTTAGAGGAAGCGGCTTTGACAGCCAGGACACCCTGCCCAGCGGGGACACTGTGGGGGTGACAGTGCCGGGGTGATGTGCCGGGACACCGCTTGCTCACCTTGGACCACTTGACGCTGAGGATGTGGACTTCACGGTCAGTGCCTGTGGAGCTGCTGCTGACACAGCCCCGCGGCACCGTGCTGGTGGCATAGGACAGGGTGATGGGCAGCTTCGCCGTCACCGGCTGCAGGTCGCAGCCCTCGGCTCTCCCAGGGTCTGGGTGAAAAACAAGAGACCGTCAGTCCCCGCCGCACAGACGTGGGGTGACACAACACGGGGGGGGACATGCTGCAGGAGGGGGCTGCATTGCAAGGCCAGCCCCGGCGCAGCCCCCAGCACGGCATCACCACGGCCCCACTGCCGTCACAGCGCCTGCAGGACCATCTGCTACGTGTTTGTTTGGGGCTCGTCCGCTGCCGCCGGCCCCCAGCGCAATCTCGTTAATGACCCTCGAATCCGGCCTGGAAAAATCCGCTGTCCCCGCTCAGCGCTGCCGCGTGCCAAAACTCGCGCCTGGCTGCCCCGAACGCCGGGGCAGTGGAGGAAGCCCCCCCGCATCCCCCGTGCCGCAGGAAAGCGGGAAGCTCAGGTATGGAAATGGCCGTAAAGCTCATCCTCTGCGGGCGCCGAGGCGCGAGCTTCGCCCCATCCCGAACCCCCCACGCGGCGCACGAGTGAGCGGGGCCGGCGGGCGACTGCCAAGGGAAATCCTGAGTGCAAACAGCCGTTTGAAGGCCTGATCCTGTAAATCCCCATTTGCCTCGGCCATTTCCTCCGCCCCAGGCAGCCCTGCTGCGGCCAGGCTGTCCTCAAGCTGGCCCCTGTGCCGGGAGGTGTCCTGGGGACCTGCTCGCACCCATGGGTGACCCCTTGCAAGGGGCTGGGCAGGATGGAGACCCACAGGCATGGCCGGGGGCTCCCCATGGGTATGCGGTGCCTGGGGTGCTGTGTTTGCTTTAGAGGTGGCCACTGAGCTCCGTCCCTTCCTGTCCCATCCTTCCCATCCCTGGTGGCTCCAGCCACTGCGCTGGGAGTTGACTGGACCCCGTGCCGGGAGGTGACTGGATCCCATGCCAGGGCCACGCAGCCGCCCCTGTGGGGACTGAGGCCAGACGGCATGATGCTCCAGGCATCGAGGCTTCGGGATGCGGCAGCCGGCAGTGGGCCACCCATGCCATGTCGTGCCCATTGCAGTGTCCCCAGCCCGTGTCTCGCCATGGCTGTGGCACAGCCACTGCAGTGGGGTCACAGCGCAGACCCCCCCAGTGACGCTGCCGCGGGCCCACCTATTGTCCAGTGCTTCCTCCCCTTGGCGCGGCGGCCGCACGGCCGGCAGCATCGGGAGGAAGATAAACAGCCGCTTATCTGGGCGCCGCAGGCTGCGTCCCTCTTCCCCTCCACTCCTGCCCCAACTGCACCAGACATGGCTGCGCAGCCCCTGGCATTGCCAGGCAGAGGACGGGCAGCTCATCACACATCTGGCAGCATCCCATGGGGAGGTTGGGCAGGGCCAGGGGGCCACAGCCAGGCTCGCCCCCAGCGCAGGGCACGCATGGGCGGGGATGCGGGGCAGCGGTGCCAGCCGGGCACCGTCAGTCCCTGGGGAAGGCAGCGGGCTCCAGCATTATGTCAGGATCAGATAAGGGGGCTCAGCTGGGCCGCCCGGGGCGATCAGATAAGGGCACTGTTATTTTTGTACTCCGGGAAAGGGAAAAAAAATAAAAAGGAAGAAAGAAAGAAAATCCACTTTATGTTTTTCCAGCCGCCCGCCCCCTCCTTCACTCCAGCGTGGCCTTGGACCAGGGAGCGGGGAAGGTGCTGCTGCGGCTCCCCAGGGGTCAGGGGGGCGATGCCTGGTTGTCTGGGAGCAGATCAAAGGTGGAGAGCAACGCCAGGGGTGCTGGGCTGGGGGTGTGGGGCCGGGGTGGCTCCAGCGGCGCAGGATGCCCCATGGGACGGGCAGCGCCGCTCTGGAATCCCGGCATCTGGCACTTGTGTAACGAGCTGGCCGGTCTCAGCCCAGGTCAGGAATGGGGATGGACCCCATGCTGCAAACTTGAGGGGGGTTGTCACCCCCCCGAGCCACCGCTGGCTGTTGGACCATGCAGAGGTGGCATCGGAGCTCAGATAACGGGGCAGATGGGACAAGGCTTTGGGGCTAACGTGGGCCACATCATTCCTGCCCCTAAGTCAGCCGGGCACCGAGCAGCCTCTCCCCAGGGACAGGAAGGGATGACCCAGCACCCTGCTCACCCCGCGGGGAGCAGCAGCAGTCCCTGCCAGGGGAGCACAAAGCCCCCTGCCCCTGGAAGCCTGCCCATGCCTGCGAGGCCCCGTGCCCACCATGGGCACCCCCAGCCCCCCGGCACTGCGCCCGCTGTGGACACCCCCAGCCCCATGGGTCCCTGCAGGAGAGAGACAGCAGCCGGACAGGACACGGCCTGTGTGGCACAGTGAGGCAGGACAGGGACCATATAGCATCGTTACGCAGAACGGGGACCATATAGCACAGCTACGCAGGATGGGAACTATACAGCACAGCTACGCAAGACAGAGACCATATAGCACAGCTACGCAGGATGGGAACTATACAGCACAGCGACGCAAGACAGAGACCATATAGCACAGCTCCTCAGGATGGGGACCATATGGCACAGCTACATGGGACAGGGATGATATGGCACAGCTCCTCAGGATGGGGACCATATGGCACAGCTACATAGGACAGGGATGATACGGCACAGTGACACAGGATGGGGACCATATGGCACAGCTGCATAGGACAGGGATGATACGGCACAGTGACACAGGATGGGGACCATATAGCACAGCTGCATAGATTGGGTGTGGTATGGCATAGCTGGATAGGACATGGTCTATATGGAAGAGCTACATAGGCTGGGGACCATATAGGACAGTTAGGACAAGGACTGCATTACACAGCTATGGAGGACAGGGACAGTATGGCATAGCTATGTAGGATGGGGACTGTATAGCACAGCTACGTAGGATGGGGACCATACAGCACAGCTAAATAGGACAGGGACCATATGGCACAGCTACTCAGGATGGGGACCATACAGCATAGCTACATAGGACTCAGCCCATACAGCACACCCGTATAGGATGGAGACTGTATGGGACAAATACAAAGGATACGGACTGTATGGCACAGCTGCGTAGGACAGAGGTGACATTGCACAGCTGTGGAGAATGGGGACCAGCTGGCACAGCTACGTGGAACAGGGACTATACATCACAGGCAGGGAGGACAGGGCCCCTGTGGCACAACTACATAGGATGCGGACTATATGGCACAGCCATAGGACGGGGACTGTATGGCACAGCTACACAGGACACAGAACTTAGTGTACATCTATGTAGGATGGGGTCAGCATGGCACAGCCATAGGACGGGGACTGTATAGCACAGCTACGGGAGCCAAGGACCTTATGGCACAGCTGTGTAGGATGGGGACCATACGGCACGGCTGCGGGGACACGGCCCACACGGCACAGCCTCACCGGCCAGGGACTGCCTGGCACAGCTGCTGGGCAGGGACCGTGGGGTGACAGCAGGCAGGGAGCGGGTGCCGAGCCTGGCAGTGGGGACGCCCCAGCAGCCCCCACCGGCGCTGGCCCCCGCGGCGGCCGGGAGGGACCGACCCAGCCGGGACACGCAGTGCTGCCGACCCCGGCCTCCCCGGGCTGCCGCTGCCTTCCCAGTTCCCTTTCCCTCTGCCAGCGGGTCGCGTCCCCGTGTCCCCCGGCTCCCTGCCCTCTGTCCGTCACGGGTGTCCCTGGGCACGTCCCCCCTTGACATTCCCCCTGTGGCTTCGCAGGGACCTCGGGGTGGCTTTAGTGCTTCCCTGCCCGGCTGCTCCGGAGGCAGATGAGCCCCCAGCTCCGTCCCACGGCCCCCGTGGGGCTTGTACGGGTTTTTTCCCACTCCTCGCCCCCGACTCCCGCTCGACCCCACACCCCCGCAGCGCCGGAGCCACAGCGGCCACCCCAGACCCCTCGGGTGCCGTTGCCTCGCCCAGGGCGCAACATCGGCGCCTTCGACACCTCCCGAGCCCCGGTGACGCAGCCTGGATTTCGGGGGTCCCAGGGAGCGGCGGGGCTACGCCGTGTGCCCCCCACTGGGGCCGGGGGTGTTTGTCCCTCCCCACCCCGGGGCCCTCCCCCACGCCCTCCTCTCCCGGCGGGGGGGACACTGCCCGTGCCGGCGCAGCCGGGACCCCTTCCG